AAAATGTGCCATCTTGGTTAGGGAAAGGAAGGACAAAGTGCATCCAGATTGCATTCCTCTCACATCTGGAAGATACCGGATATTGGACTAAGGTAAATCAAGCTTTTCTGTGATATACCATGTCCCTTGTAATCTCCCTAAGGTGCACGACTTTGCATCTAATCCATACCCAGAGCCATAGGGATCAACGCAAGAAAACCGGACTTATGTATTCAAAAGAAATATGTGCATCCACTTTGTTCACTATGACCCTCAACAGGATCGACACGTTGTTTATGAATCTTCCTATCATAAATTATACATGTTATTTGGTCGAAGGCAATCGGCAGAAAGCTGTGGACCTAGGTTTCGTGTTTTTTGGCGCTCGTCAGCAAGGCGTATCTGCAAGTTCGACGGAACTGATGTCCAGCCTGAGATTCAAACCCGCGTTACCCAGTCTTGTGGTTAGCGACTTTACCACTGAGCTATTCGGGCTGTGACTGACCTCCTATAAGACTGGCTTACATGTATTGATTGGTCGGAGGAGTGCAACCAGTTTCATGTTGTCTAGTTCTGAGTGCTGACCGAATCTCAGGCTGGACATCAGTTCCGTCGAGGTTGCAGATACGCCTTGCTTCCAACCAACTAATATCTACTAATATACACCGTAATGCTGAGCTTTGGTCGACGTTTATTACCCGGCACACTCCCCCTCCCCCTAATTTATTTAGGGTGGAAGAAAGAAATCGGAAATTAAAAAGTCATTGAGTTTGTGTGGCCAAGTTACTTTCCTATTGGACCAGGACACTTTCTCGAAGGAATCTGATCAGTTGAGCTTAGATAAGCTATCTGTATTTAGACTGGCTTATAAAATCATCATCACTTGTCACATAAATTCTGTTTTAAGAAATTAATCACCATCAGGTTAAGATTAAATCCAGAATTTGTAGAGAATTTAATTCTGTAGTGACAATATTGTGTAATATTTCAGGGAGCCTGTTTCAAAATCTATTGAGTGTAATTGTTGCCATGATAATTGTAATTTCTCGTTGCTATACGGGGCTGAACTGCTCTACTTCTGTTGGTAGATAGGCTCCTATACGGATGCCTTGATACTGCTACTGATTCATGATGTAACGTTGATCTCGGTGACTAACAGAGAACTCCAGGACTGGCGTTTTGTCCTATTTGGGACTCGGCTTAGTGGATAACGCTCTGCTAGTTTAAGCAATGGATACTTAGTTCGATCCACAGTGGGAACCACATCGCTTAATACGGTCCGGGTATATCCAGCTGATGAGTCCCGAGTAGGATGAGACGCTCGTGCTGGTAGTCGGCAAGACCAAAATGTATTGAGTGTAATGTATGACTGACTGTAAATGAGGTTTGCAAAGAAATCTGATCAAAAGTTTACACATAATGATAAGTTCTTATTTTGGTAATAATTCGAACAAGATTACTGCCCGTGATCACACCAACTGTCTGAATATTTTCTTAATAATTTACTGAAATGAAAGTCTACCATTGTTTGTAAACTTTTCATTCAAAATGTACTTATAATATGTATTATTCCATTCGACAATACACAATTTTTCTCATCGATATATTTATATTCTTGTAGGAATACACTACTAGGTGTAATCTTAAGGAAAATATTGGTGAAAAACTGAATACTCTGCTTTGGTAGTTCTGACCAACATTAAGATGGTCTTCGAAAACCCGTACCAACTGAGTAATCACGTTCATATAGACAGATTTTACAATATATCTCAATGTTTTGCCATGAAATTGCTACCATGTAATCTGCAATTTGAACCTTTTTTACTGAGAGTGGATTTGCTGTTCAAATTAAAGTATGACAGCGGAGAAACTGTTTTATTTCAGCTGTGATTATGAGATAGCATTTCTTTAATTTCCTATGCTTCTAAGAAGTGGTAGTGTATAAAAATTCTTGTTGTTATCAAATAACTGCAGTAAATACTACGTGAGTATTGAATATTTTGTGCATGATGGAAGAAACAAGGATTTTCGGCGACGCTTTCAATCATAGTTAACAGTTTCAGGAAGTATCCTCAGTTCACTTTTTACGTTTTTTCCATGTGGATTCCACCGAAGACTTTCTTAGTTGATGAAAAGAGACTTCCGTAATGGAGCAGATCAACAGGGAATTGGCACACAGGTCACACCACAGATGCATTGTTGTTTGCAAGTAAACATGTCTATTAGTGATTAATCGTGGCTAACACTGGAATCTCGGATGCGCATTTCGTCCTATTCGGGACTCGTTAGGTGGATGTACCTGCTTTCCAGTGACTGATGTTGTTCCCACCAAGATTCGGACACAGGAGCGATCGCTTCAAACGCCAGCGCGTGATCCACTACACCACCGAGCCACGATAGTCACTTCTTGTGTGACAGGTATAGTTTAAGTGTTATTGCTTGTATTACACCGTTGTTGATTGGACCAAATTGATCAGTCTGTATTGGCATATGGGCTCTTGTGTAGATGCCTCGATATTGCCAGCGTTCTAATTATGTTAATGATGGATCGTGGCTAGCAGTGGAATCCAGGATGTGCACTTCGTCCTATTTGGGACTCGTCAGCTGGATGTAGTGGTGTAGTGGATAACGCGCTGGCGTTCGAAGCGATCGCTCCTGTGTCCGAATCTTGGTGGGAACAAAATCAGTCACTGGGAAGCAGGTACATCCACCTGATGAGTCCCGAATGGGACGAAATGCGCATCCTGGATTCCACTGCTATCCACGATCCATCATTAACATAATTAGGACATTGGCAATATCGAGGCATCCACACAAGAGCCCATATGCCAGTAGAGACTGATCAGTTCGGTCCAATCAATGACGGTATCAAATAAAAAACAATTATACTAAAAACATGTTTGTTTCCGGATCATTTTACTGAAAGTATGTATATGTTAAGAACTAGTACGGTTTCATTGACCAACTGGAAGCTTATTCCAAGACGAAGGCATTAACATTACGAATACTTCATTCAGTTCCACTAACGATGATTCCAAAGTTTTACTTGAGGTTAGAATAATCTGTCTCTGGTAACATTTTACTTTTAGCCTATAACTGGAGTGCCGATGGCTAGCATAAATAATGTTACCTGAAATTTTTTTATGGCTGAAAATAATTCGATGAGGTCGTTTAAAGCAAAATTCTTCACACAACCATGTCTCTATATATTTGAATATTAGGATAAGCACATATTAACTAATATGCATCAAGATTGAAGGCTACTCATGAGGATATTGGAAACAGTTGAAGCAGCTTAGTAATCAAAATGTGTAAGGTTTACAGAGCCTCATTTGATTAGTTATTTAGTCACCTTGGCATATTTGCAAGGAAACGATGTTTTAATCCGTTTGCTAAGATTAGTGATGAATATTTATTTCCTTATGTTATTGGTTTTATACCCTTCCTTATACCACAACCTGTAGTCATTTTCAACTACAATGTAATGCTTCACACTTGTTATTCTCTATTTCGTTACGGTATTCACATGATTTTCATCATAATTATTATTTGACCCATAGTAAACAAACAAACAAACAAACAAGTTGACAGAATAGGCAGGGCAGCGAAGACTGGAATTCAAGTGAACGTAGAGAAGACAGAGGGGATGAAGATACCCAACCAACATCACCACCACCAACAACAACAACTTGAAGGAGGTAGTCTATTTCACCTACCCACTTGTCCACGCAGCATCGTTTCAACTACAAATGGTGCAGGCATATACGAGGATGTCAAAACCAGATAGGATCGGAAGAACAACAAGACATGCCTTCCTTCATTAACCTGAAACCAGTGTGGAGATCTTCTGCACTCAGTATGAAGCGTGAAGAACATCCAGATTTTCAACACTAATTCGGTCAAGTCATTGCTTCTATGTGATTGTTCAGAGACTTGGTTGGGCGTTAGGAAGGGCATTTCTAACAAACTACAGATATTGATGAACAACTGCCACCTACGCTCAATCGATGGATTGGGCATACACTGAGAAGGCCGACTGAGGAGATCACGCGTGAGGCCAAGCCGTGGAGTAGAATCCAGAGGGGAAACGACGAGTTTGGCGTCGTAGGTGAGTGTGACATGGAGGAGATGATGTGAGGAAGAAATGAGAGGTTGTGGGTATTCGTGGAGCCAGGTTGAATAGGTTGGAGAGAAGAGATTGGAATGGAGACGTGCTACTGAAGCCGTATGTTTCACTAGGAACTCAAGGGACAAATAATAATAATAATAATAAACACATGTTCATGCCACAATAAATCTATATAAATGAATAATCATCGGTAGATTTAGTCGCCTTATCTCCTAATTGTACTACCAATATGGATTTGATTGCACAACTTGATTGTACACTAGACTGATTACCATTCCATTCGATTTGATCTTCATTAACCCATAACACTGACTGTCTCAATGTAGTAAAATTGTACATCATACCTTATTTCAGTTATTGTATTTTACTTATTCTCGTGGATTTATAAGAAGAGGAAGTTATTGAAAACAACTGTTCACTCAAATTATTATTCTTCTGAATAATCTATAGGAATCTTTAAATTATGTGTAGTAATGATGAGTAGTGGCTAACAGTGGAATCTAGGATGCGCATTTCGTCCTATTCGGGATTCGTCAGCTGGATATACCTGCCTCCCGGTGAGTGATAGTGTTCCCACCAGGATTCGAACTCGGGAGCGATCGCTTCAAATGCTAGGGCATTATCCACTACACCACCAAGCTACGGTAGTCACTTCTTGTGTGACAGGTATAGTTTAAGTGTTATTGCTTGTATTACACCGTTGTTGATTGGACCGAATTGATCAGTCTGTATTGGCATATGAGCTCTTGTGTGGATGCCTCGATATTCCCTGTGTTCTTAACTATATAGTAATACGTAATTCTATAAATTATTAAAAGTCTATTTATTGGACATGACTTCAGTTTATTAAACCTTTTTTAAAATCTACATTATTTATTTAAATCTTGTCTAGTTATCATCATTAGATCCAGATACAAAACAAACTTCTAAATCTGATCCATTTGATCAATTGAATTACCCTAGTTCAAGTCAAATGAATCAACAAAATAGTTATGAATATGGATCATCGGAAAAAATGTTAAAATTGATAAGAACAACTGATGAATATGATGAAGAACAAGATGATAAAGCATTAATTGAGTATTCACCAACTCATGGACCTCTTTTACCTGATTTAGAATGGATTGTTGACGAAGACAACTTACCAGACAGTAAGAGTTATTCTGTTAATTTTTTCCATTTGGTTTACAACTCTCTTAAACACCTTTCATCATTATAAGATGAAATCAACTACTAAACTATTAAAAAACAAGAGAGATATTTTAAATGACTGGTTCAATTATATTTAGCAGCAATGAAACACTTGGACAAACAAAATACACGAATAGTAACTGTCCTCCCTCAGAACTATATACTTCACTGAACCATGAAAATTAAAAGATAAAGACAAGTTTGTAACTGTAAGAAAGATACTTCATTCCACAAAATTGCATCATTTATATATTCAGTCTTCATCAGCATATAAAATCATTAGATTGAAAGTTAGATGACTTATTCTGATTGGTCAACTGTAGGACAAAGCTATCCAATAAGGATTTCTTGACCACACAGTGACAGTAAACAAAACATGAAATATAAAAACTTTGAAATTATTAGCTGATGACTCAAGATGTTGATTTCTATTTAACCCGCTTCCTAGCAGTATTAAAAAGTCGTCGTTTTTTTTACATAATTAAACCAAAAACCTATAGGTTGCAGAGTGACTACTTTACTTTTGAAACACAGTATTTTCAAAATCCTGTTATATGTATATATAGAAGTAGTATTCATCATGAACTAATATCAGCTGGGGAACCATTGGAAGTCTGGGAGCACTGGTCAGCTGTTTCATTCTAGTATGGAACTCCTCAGCAGTACGCACCCACGACTCGGCTAAGGATCGAACTCAGGACCTTAAGGTTTCACGGCGAAAGCGTTAACCATTCGGCCAATGGATCGGTTTCCAGTGGATTACAATTTCCAACTTCTGTCAATTCATGATATAGCGCGACTATCACCCAAAGTCTCAGTTGAATTAGCTTTAGTTAAATATTTAAATGAAAGGCCGGTAAAGGTTATTATTATTAATTATTATTATCATTATTATGGCTATTATTAGTCCCATGGTTTCCTAGTGGAGCATAGGGCGTCAGTAGCACGTCACCATTTCACTCTCTTCTCTGAAGTCTTGTCAACCTGGCGCCAAGACTGCCTACAAGCTTTTATTTCTTCCTCACACCATCTTCTCCATGTCACCCTCGGCACCGACGCCCAACTAGTCGTTTCCCCTCTGGGTTCCATTTGAGGGCCCGGCCTGACGCGAGATTTCCCCGAAAGGTCTTCCCATTGCATGTCCAATCCATCTCCACTTTCTTCGACTGCATATTTGTTGGGTAGTGAGGTCTTGGTTGGTTCGTTGCCCGGCCAGAGTTCTTTGTTGCTTATTCTTTCTGGGCATCTGAGCTTCACTAACGAGCGCATGCCATAATATCTACGATAAGAAATTAGACATATCAAGAATACTTTTCTATTCGAATGATTATCTACCTAACTTTATCAATAAATTCAAAAAGAATCGGAGGGAAGGTAAGAAGGGCAATACCAGGAACACATGTAGCATTAATGATACTTTTACTACCAATAGTAATGATGATAAAAGGGTTGAGAGAGAATTCAAGGCCTCTGCTGTCTTACCATACAAAGAAGACACCTCAGAAGTATTACAAAGAATTCTCAATAAGGCTAGTTGGGATTAGGGCGACTGGTATTTAAATGAAGAAACTCGCTTAGAAACAAACTTTTCAAGCTAAAAGATCTCACTGATCCAACCAGGCAAGATAATTTAGTTTACCAAATATGTTACAGCGATTATGACGTCAAATACATAGGTCAATATAGTCACTCGATCAGAGTCAATAAGAATAGGAGAGTAGAAAAACTTAGCTAAATTAACTTAACCCGAATGTATCCAGTAATAGAAATGATTCTGCATCTGTCCCAAATACTTAGGAATATATTCAATAAGATGATTAATTCTCAATTTGGAATTAATTTAAGAATATGAGTTCATCATATAAGGTAGTGAAAGTCAGTTGATTTGAGTAATTCTGCTGTGTGAGCTGAATATGCTGGATAAAGTGCTGATGATCGCAGCTAAAAACAAGCGAAACCACTTTTCTGGGTTTATATTCCTTTTATGTAGCTAGCATAGTTTACGGCAAACCTGGGTGGCTTAAGACCATTCACGTTGTTCTACAGCAATCAATCACTAGGGGATATATTCCATGTAAAGAACTGTTCACCGACTACCTATACCAAAGAGTAGTACTGTCTCACGCAAGACAAGTACAAAAAGTTATGAAAGGCTTGACTTTTATCCCATTTTAGTGAGGCTCAATAGTAAATGATGGGGGTATCAATCGAACGTTTAAACATGCATTCTAGCCTTAGTAGCGTCTAATGTATACAAATAAATTTCGACTACTTATAAAACCAATTCAGTAGTAATAATTATTCTTTAAAATATTTCGCCGATTTCTGTACTAACAGGTATGCAAGCATGCTTAAGAGAGTTACGATATCTTCTACAACATAAGCCTACTATTCATTCAACTTCACAAGAAAATATCATTCAGTCACCGTTACTAATGCTAACTGAAGACAGAAAACCTATTCAGTATTCAACAGAAGAACCATCATCATTAGCAGTAACAGTAGGGAATGAAATAACCAAATCAATAGATAGAAATTCTCTGGAAAATTTAAGTGAGCAAATACTTCCTATTTCTCCAGTACCTTCAGTAAAACTATCCTCAAAATCAATGGAATTGGTTCCAGTTAATAAAACTTCTAAAATTCTTCCACTTAAAACTAATTTACAGCAGTTATCAAAGAAGTATACCAATTTTATTGAAATACCTCTAACTAAAGTAAGCAGTAATAATAGTAATAATAATAATAATGTTCATACTATTGTCTATCATATACAGTATTAGAGCATATATTTTTACTGAGTTTTGAAAAGACCTTGGGAGACAATAATTACCAACAGAAGTTTATCAGTAAATATGAAAGATTTGAAGACAATTCATTAAAGTGACCTACAGTAACCAAGAAGCTTAGTCTTAGTGAACTCAACTTCAAACGTGGCAATGTTTCTGAAAGAATTAATGAAAGGCTGTATGCTACACTGAACAGAATATATCCTGAAGGCAATTTGATCACTTTCTACGGTAAAATATCCTCCTTAGTATAATCCAATCCAAAGTCAAGATTTTCCCTTACCATGTCATCTCTAACTTTGCATTCACGTTAACTTAGATCTGAGGTAGCAGTTACTTTAGTAGTGCAGTCACATGACATCCTATCGACCTGGGTTATGAAGTTGATACTAAGGAATCCTTCAAGGTAATCAATAAACAATGTACTTCAAACCTTCGCAAGTTCATTGAGGTCTTAACGATCAAACGATTAAAACCAATAGGAATTGCATGTTTAAAATAAAGCATTGATAAGTCTTTCTCCATCTTGGTAACCTAATACTCTTCTCTGTTAACTAACTCCTTGTAATTACAGAAAAGCATATTCTAGTTCGGGAAACCAGAGAAATGCGATGACATTAGATTATTCTGCTTCAGTCGTATTGTTCCTTCTCTATTCAACTTCATAAAGATGGATATGTCTAAGAAGATTGTTCTCGGTTAAGTTACCTCCACACACATACACATACACATACAGACAGTGTAATCATTATTCATGCAATAGAGAAATATTTGACAAGCAAAAGTAATTACAAATTGTAAAAATTACTCATAAAGCTGATGATTTGATAAAGAGAATAGGAAATGATGTCAGTTGATTGTAGATAATTCATAAGAAACCATGATCCAGAGTTTCGGACTTACTGATGCTCTTCATGAAAATGTGCCAGTGACCTCGAAGGGAACTAATGTCCACGAAAAGGTTGGAAGTAAAGATCTTGGAGATGACGAGTAAACAATATATATATATATATATATATATCGCTGGACCGATGAGAAGACCCTATAAGATTTGGATTTGACCGCCGATGATGATTTATGTCTAATTTCTCACAAACTCAAAGATCTACAGACGAAAAACAACGAGTTGGCAGAAGAGGCGAGACAGCGAGAGCAGACGGGACCTCAAGTGAATATAGAGAAGACAGAGGTGATGAAGATGCTCAACCAGCGACAAACTCTAATCACCATCAATGGCACAAACTTAAAGGAAGTAGCCTCTTTCACCTACCTACCTGTCTACGCAGCATCGTTTCAACTACAAGCGGTGCAGGCACACACGAGCATGTCAAAACCAGACAGGATCGGAAAAACAACAAGACAGGCCTTCCTTCATTGACCTGAAACCAGTGTGGAGATCTTCTGCATTCATTATGTAGCGTGAAGAACATACGGATTTTCAACACTAATTCGGTCAAGTCATTGCTTCTATGTGATTGTTCAGAGAGTTGGTGTGTCACGAAAACCACTTGCAACAAACTACAGATATTCATGAACAACTGCCGCCTACACTCACTCAATACTGAAGATTAGATGGTGAGAATAACAGGAATGAGCAACAAGGAACTCACTCTGGTCTGGGAACGAACCAACCAACTAAGAACTGATCAGCGAACAAATATGCAGTGGAAGAAAGTGTAGATGGATTGGATTGGGCATACAGTGAGAAGGCTGACTGGGGAGATCATGCGTGAGGCGAAGTCGTGGAGTGGAATGGTAAGGGGAAACTACAAGTTTTGCGTTGTCGGTGAGTGTGACATGGAGGAGATGATGTGAGGAAGAAATGAGAGATTGTGGGCATTTGTGGAGCCAGGTTGAAAAGATTGGAGAGAAGAGAGTTGAATGGAGGGGAAAATTATATATATATATATATATATATATATATATATATATATATATATATATATATTAGATGATAATAATAATAATGACAGTAGTAATCGGTTTATTCCTAACAATATGTATGAGAGTATGGAATTATCAGCACACAATGTTTCAACAATTTCACTTCATGAAGAATACTTTCAGACGAAATGCTTATTGCATCGCAATGATGTTAATAGTAACAGTATTCAAGGAAGTAATCTGAAATAGCCAGCTGGTTCTTAATGGGCATCGGGTACATAATGAAAATTCAACAGAAATACAAGCCTAATTTTAGTGGTGGCGGTTCATTCAGACGGTACAAATATCTGTAACTCAAGTTGAGCATCTGATGGATAGAAATATTAAGTAATTTTGTTCACGGAATAAGTGTATTTCCATATGACGTAACGTTTTTATCTTCACTTCGTGATTAATTTGAGAAAAGGAGAATGGAAACAGTTTAAAAATGTGCCAGACTATATGATACGTTCAAAAAAACAATTTTAAATGATTAAAACAAATTGAAAAGAAGGAAGTTTTGATGAAAAATGTTCAATGGATACAATTGGTTGCTCAAGGTAGGCCACCGTGAAAAACTGAAGTATTATTCTTTTTGAATATAAATTCAAGCATATGAAACTTCCATGAGTTTTGATACTTAGTTCTCTCTAAATTGGTTTCGATAAGTGGTGTAGCTTACAGCTTAGTGTATAAGTTTATTCGTTATAATTGCATTGAGTGTTTTCAGGAGATACATTTGTTTCTGTTTGAGACTCATCAGGTGGAATTGCCTGTAACCTAATGAGTTTTAGTGTACCCACTGAATTTATATCCAGTACCGAGTCCTTCAAACTGGTTATCAGATAATATATAATTCTTAGATAAACATTGAAGGTTTCATTTGGACAAGTAACTGGTTGGTATAGTGATACATGTGTTAGATCAGGCGAAAAAAAAATGGAAAACATGAGTCTTAGATAAATATTATCAATTATATTAAAATTTCACTTATAACTTAGTAAACATTATTTAATGTATAGCTCAGCTAAAAACCTCTCGATTCACTCCTTATCCATTTTCATTTAACGTATAGCTGGAAGATAATTCCATGTTGAAGTGAAATCAATCATTATGTGTTATTTCATTTTTTTATGCATGAAATTCTGATCTATTGTAGTCATGTAATTTGAGTGCCTATATATAGGTGATTCAGGTTGGCTAAGATATATGGAGAGTATTTAATCGATTTCAATCATTCAGCCAACCCAACACAATGATTTTAAGGTTGTCTATGGAATTCGCTTTAACACCTCATGTTTCCTCCATGTTCAACTTCTAAAAACAATAGAGGCATTGACTATCCATGAACTAAAACCCCACCTTTGTGTGCAAAAGAAGTACGTACAGTCCTTGTCTCTACCTTGGCCTTAATTTATTTTAGTCTTGGTGAGCTTCGTTGTCTTTTTTCGTTTTTCATCCCCTTCCCCTTTTTTGTCACATTAATCTTTGCATGGTTATACCATCATTATCACTCTATCGTTTTGCATTTAATTGTTTCCGGTGTTATTTCATTTGTTCTTCCTAATAATCGCAACTTTTAACAAAACATTTTCAATTTACTCCAACTGACTTGTCTCATTTATATTCTTAAACACCTTTGATTGCTTATTAACGTTCTCACCCCTTTCTATTCTATATGCACTTCATAAACGATTCGAAAATCTTACATAACCCCCTTTTTGTTATCATTCAACCTTTACGTCATCAACTAGCAACATTATAATTATCATCACCATAATTATTAATATTTCAACCCCCATTATTTCAGTTAAATCTTCCCCACGGATTACAGTCTTTAAATATCGTATATATATATATATATATATATATATATATATATATATATATATATATATATATTCGTTGAAGAGTCCTGTTCGCTGAATATCTTGTTTTCGATATGAAGAGTAGGTAATAAACTTTGTGTTCTGTTGTATATGATTTAGATGGCCGAAGTGTGTAACTTATCGTGTGGATGAATGAGCATCCGGAACACGAGACTAACCACATGCAAAATCAGCATTAAGATAGATCGGCACAGTCATACGCACCAGACGAATACTATTATGCAAAATCATGACAACATGTTTGTATTGACTAGACTATGAACCACACTTCTCGTATGATGCTTAATGATACAACATTCAAGCTGAATTGAGACGGGACCAAAGACCAAATAATTGGAAAGTGAAGTTTCTAACCCAATGACTAGTATTACTATTACTACTATTATTTGTCCTTTGGGTTCCTAGTGAAACATACGGCTTCAGAAGCACGTCTTCATTCCACTCTATTCTCTTCAATCGTTTGAACCTGGCACCACGACTGCCCACAAGCTCTCATTTCTTACACCATCTCCATTTCACACTCGCCTTGGATGCCCAACTCGTCGTTTCCCATTTGGGTTCCACTCGAGGGTCTGGCCTGGCACGTGATGTCCCCAAATGGTTTTCCCAGTGCATGCCCAACCCATCTCCACTTCCTTCTGCATATTTGTTGAGTGATAAGTTCTTGGTTGGTTTGTTTCCAGACCAGAGTGAGTTCCTTGTTGCTCATTCTTATTATTCTGACCATCTAATCTTCAGTATCGAGTGAGTGTAGGCGGCAGTTGTTCATGAATATCTGTAGTTTGTTGGAAGTGGTTTTTGTGACATGCCAAGTCTCTGAACCATATACACGCACTGACTTGACTGGATTGGTGTTGAAAATTTGGATCTTGTTCTTCCATGCTGGATTCAGGTTGATGAAGGAAGGCCTGTCTTGCTTTTCCGATCCTGACTGCTCTGATATCCTCGTCTGCGCCGCCTCTGCCACCTGTATTTGAAACAATGCTGCCTAGATAGATGAAAGAGGCTACTTCCTTTAAATTTCTTCCGTTGATGGTGATTGGAGCCTGTTGTTTTTGCTGGTGGTGGTGGCGATGTTGGTTGGGTATCTTCATCACCTCTGTCTTCTCTACATTCACTTGAAGTCCCGTCTTCCCTCGCTGCCTCATCTCTTCTGCCAACTTGTCACTTTTCGCCTGTAGATCTTCAAGTTTGTGTGACATTAGACACAAGTCATCGTTGGGGAAATCCAAATATTCTAGGATCTTCTCTCCGGTCCAGCCACTGTATCCCCCTCTTCTCGCTGCTCACAGTTTGTTGCATGATCTAGTCCACTGTAATCAGGAAGATGATGGGTGATAGTAGGCGGCAGCCTTGTTTTACTCCCTCCTGTCTTCACTTTGAAGGCATCACTGAGCTTCCTATTGTGAATTACTTGGCGTGTGGTGTCATGATTATCATTATAACTTTGATTTCATGTTGAAATTTTTCATAAAACATACTTCTTTTGAATTAGGCATTGAATGATGAAGAAAGAGAAAAACGGAAATTGGATAACATTAGAGCAAAACAAAATCCTGTGGTTAAGTCGAGAAAATGGAATTATTTGAAATTTAACAATAATCAGTCAAAACAGACAGTACCGAAAGGTGCCAAAGAATTATTTGAACAGGTTAGTTACCACTATTATTATTATTATTGTCATACTAGTTTACTATCTAACAAGTTGTCAGAAGAGGCAGTGAAAACGAGACTTCAAGTGAATATAGAGAAGACAGAGGTGATGAAGATGCTCAACCAACGACAAACACTAATCACCATCAATGGCACAAACTTAAAGGAAGTAGCCTCTTTCACCTACCTACCTGTCTACGCAGCATCGTTTCAACTACAAACGGTGCAGACATACACGAGGATGTTAAGACCAAACAGGATGGGAAAAACAACAAGACAGGCCTTCCTTCATTGACCTGAAACCAGTGTGGAGATCCTCTGCATTCATTATGTAGCATGAAGAACATCCGAATTTTCAACACTAATTCTGTCAAGTCATTGCTTCTATGTGATTGTTCAGAGAGTTGGTGTGTCACGAAAACCACTTGCAACAAACTACAGATATTCATGAACAACTGCCGCCTACACTCACTCGATACTGAAGATTAGATGGTGAGAATAACAGGAATGAGCAACAAGGAACTCACTCTTGTCTGGGAACGAACCAACCACTTAAGAACTGATCAGCGAACAAATATGCAGAGGAAGAAAGTATAGATGGATTGGATTGGATTTGATTGGGCATACAGTGAGAAGGCTGACTGGGGAGATCATGCGTGAGGCGAAGTCGTGGAGTGGAATGGTAAGGGGAAACGACGAGTTTTGCGTCGTCGTTGAGGGTGACATAGATGAAATCGTGTAAGGAAGAAATGAGAGCTTCTGAGCTATCTTGGAGCCAGGTTGAAAAGATTGGAGAGAAGCGAGTGGGATGGAGACGTGCTACTGAACCATGATGTTCGACTAGAAACCCAAGGGACAAATAATAATAGTAGTTTACTGTGTCATGAACGACATTATCCTGAGAACATTTTAAAATCTGGAAGCATCGAACATCTGTTTCATCCTAGCTTTGAATTTCTCAGCAGCGTATATCGACGATCCCATGAATGATCCAGTCTACGACCACTCCCTCCAATGGTAACCTACTTGTCATGATTTTCCTGAAATTGATCCCTAGCAGACTAGCTGATACATCCTAAACTATGATGACATTGTGATTAGTCTATGATGATGACTTAGTGTTATTGCTTATATTACACCGTCGTTGATTGGACCGAAATGACCAGTCTCGCGTTTGGAGCGATTGCTTCCGAGTCCGAATCCTGGTGGGAACAACATCATTCACTGGGCGGTAGGTACATCCATCTGACGAGTCCGAAATAGGACGAAATGCGCATCTTGGATTCCACTGCTAGCCACTGCCCGTCATTACTACATATGATGAAGACTACTTTAAAACTAATGAGTCCCTAAAAACCACTGAAGTAGGCGACTAACTGGTTAGATAGTTATAAAAAACAACCAACTAACTAAGTAAATTTATGAAATAACAAGCCAAATAACTACCTAAGTACCTAAGGACTAACTAACTAGATAAGTAAAGACTAAATGAACAACTAACCAACAGACCAATTAAATAATTAAATAATTAGCTTAATAAATGACTAATTTAACTAAATACTCAAAAAAACCAAGACGATCAACTATCTGCTATGGCCCGTAGTGCGACCTAACAGTCTATGAGTGATATGGACCTAATGCGCAGACAAACCGACTCTAGACGCTAATTAGAACGTCAACCATCACAATGACAATACCACTAACGTACGAAGACTGACCGTTGATACACGGCCTTTTGCTGTCTCAATAAGAGTGAAAAATATTTGAAAGCGATACTAAATATATACAACTCCCAATTACCTTGACAACATTAAATCCATATTTAGGCTAAAACAGTCAACAACCAATGAGAGTTCAGCCTTGAGAGTTATGGGATATATAAAAGATAGCAACGGTGTAAAAACATCAATGATAATTGAAACAATGGAGAATATTTATAGTGAGTGGATGGTCTTGGTTGTATTGTGTTCTCTGAGGAGCTGGGTTGTTTAATCGTGAAGCTTTCATCACCTTGTTAGACAGCTACATCATCAGCACTAACTTCAGTATGAAGTGAGCTGTCAATATCTCTCCATGAGTGATTTAGTAGCTTGCCTTGACGAAGTGGTCTGTGATTGATTGTTTCCTTCAGTTGTTGTGTCATTGAATGACTGAATAGATTACCCTGTCGGCTGTTCCTCTGCTTCACCTCTCACCTTTCTGTCGTTCATCATTTTTCTTATTGGTTGATAAATTCGGCCTATGTATACACATCTATTGATTGCTGACTGACTGACTGACATGGATGCCACGCTTCTAGAAATTCTCTGATATTTCGTGTGTTTCCTCTCTCCATCCAACATTCCTACATTGTCAAAATTGAATTCATGTCCATAGTTGTTACCCACGTGGATTGAAATGAGTGATGAAATGTCATATGTGACGTTTAACAGCCAATCGGTGTTCATGTAGATGAAGGTGAAGAGGGCGACCACTCTCTGTCCAATGCAGTGTTGACTGCAGTTAGTTATTGCAGTTGATTTTGTAAATGATATTTAGTTTGTCTTCTTTGGTTGTTGCATCCTTTGGTCTGCATAGTAGTGTTTGGAGGGAATTTGTTGGTTTATGAGCCACACCAATCCCACCAAGTGGTATGAGTAATCTTGTCATGATTTCTGATACATCTTCTTTATGTATGGTGGGATGATGCGTTTATTGATTTCTGTCGATGACTTTGTAGTTGATGATGTAGGGGATAGGCAGCTTGTGACAAGGTTTCGTGGGTAGTTGTTCTTCTTTAGGGTGAACATCAAGTAATTTTCTTCTTTTCCCATGAAGTTGTTGTACTGCAGTGTGTTCTCGCTCTTCTGAATAGAGTCTACACGCAACTGATCTTGTGTGTTGTTAGGTTGTTGCTATTGTAGTTGAGGATTTGGTCAGTGTGTGTAGTCTTCTTGTACACTTGGGTTTCCAGCTTTCCGGCATTTGTTCTATTAATTAATGGTAGTTAGTTGTTTGCCTCCTTCTCCATTGTGAATTTGATGTCATTGAAAACGTTGTTGAGCATACTGTGAATGTTTTCTATATCATCCTTTTTAATGATGACAAAAGTGTTGCCTAACTAATCAATCAACTGCGTAAATAACTAAAAAAGACACTAATCAAATGAATATATAAATAAATGAATAAGTAACTAACCAATTGAATAACTAGCGAAATGATTGGCGAACTAACTAATCCAGTGAAAACTAATTAACTGTGTAGCTTGATAACCGACCACTTGATTTATAAAGTCCCTAAGTAACGAGCTGGTTATCTAGCGTCGATTAACGAACTAACTAACTAATCAACAGTTTAGTAGCTAAGTAAATTACTTAACTTGTTTGGTTGTGGCTTGTACAGGAATCCAAGATGGCCACCCCTTCCTATTTAGGATTCGCCAGCGAGATTTCCCCGCGCCCCGGTGGGTGACGCTGTTCCCACTGAGACTTGGAACTTGTACTCATTGCTTCAAACCCAAAGGAGTTATTCAATAGACCAGTAAGGCAGTGTAACCATCTGTTGTACAATGGGTAGTAGTTATTACTATTTATTGATATACTTACAATTCTTCTTTGTTATACTGGTTCGAACTGTTCCTCTGGTAGCCCCAACCAAGTACATTATCCTAATAAATTATTATTATTTATTGTTTTTCCCTTGGGTTTTTAGTGGAACATAGGGCTTCAGTAGCATGTCTCCAGTGCACTCTATTCTCTGAAATCTTTTGAACATGACTCTATGACTGCGCAAAAGCTTTCATTTCTTCCTCACACCATCTCCGCCATGTCACTCTCAGCTGAGATGCCCAACTCGCCGTCTCCCATCTGAGTTCCACTCGAGGGTCTGGCCTAGTGCGTGATGCCCCTGAATGGTCTTCTCAGTATATGCCCAATACGTCAGCTTATCTTTTACACATCGCTAGGGAAAATGATTAAAACGTTGGCGGGGGAATGTGTTCTATATAAGGATCTTGACATTTACTCTCTTTGAGGATTTCTGTAGTAATGTCATTTTCTAATTCAAGCAAGATTCAGCAAAAGAATCCTTTTTTAGCGCTAAATATGTTCGTTCAGTTGTGTTCTTTGCCTTCATGTTCTTATCTATGAATTTAAGTAGTAAACAGTTTCCTAATGGAGTTTGCCGAAGATCTTAACCTAAGGTCCATTAATCCTTAAAAACCTTAAAACTGAATTAATCTATTGTTCATTAGTGACTAACCTTGAAAGTTGATTCCCGAATTTCTAATGACAAGTTGAACATGAGGACAGTTACTCACTGACGGCATCGGATAGCGATCGCACTATATCGTGAAATAGCAGAAGTTGGATTCCGATCTAATGGCTCAGCGACAACATGCTGGTCACGGAATCTCAAGGTCCTGGGTCTGATCCATGGTGGGACGAGGTCATGGGCGACCACTGCCTATACAAGGGCGAAACAGCTGTCCCAGGTTTCCAATGTTCCTCCAACTGATATCCATTCATGATAAATAACAACCTGAAGTCAACAGTATCGGTTGTGCGTAATTATATTTATTCATTTCCTTAATCCTTTGTTTATTTTCCTAATCTAAACCCTCATTCATATTACGTAACTTCCCCTGAACAGAAACAATTTGGAGTATTCTACCCTTTTTCATATTTACACTTATGAAAGTACAATACACTAAGTGATTTAGTCGAAAAAAAATTGTTTCAAGTTGTTATTCATCGTAGACTGACATCAGTTGGAGGAACGAAGGAAACCTGGGAGTACTGGACAGCTGTTTCCTCCTAGTATGGGACTCCTCAGCAGTGCGCACCCACGACCGTTGGGCGTAAAGCCTGATGGTCGTGAGGACAGTTACTCAACGATGACATTGGGTGTCGGTTCCCCTATATCGTGAGCTAACAGAAGTTGGAAATATGGAGGATTAGATTGTGACCCAGTGGCTCAATGGTAACGCGCTAGCCAAGGAACCTGAAGTTCGCGGGTTGAATCCCCGGCGGGACCATGAGTACGCACCTCTGAGAAGTCTCATACTAGGACGAAACAGCTATCCAGTGCTTCCAGATTTCCATTGTTCCTCCAACTGATGTCAGTCTACAATGAATAACAACTTGAAATATTTTCAAATCCCCACAACTCCCTCAAAAAATTGTTGTCTTCGCTAAAACCGCTTTTTTAAAATATTTTTCCTATAGTGAAATGGGTATATTCCACAGCTGAATACACCTAATTAACAAATTAAAATGGAACTACAATCTGCTGCATTGGCTAATTTTCACGCTTACGTTACATAAATTAAACCGTTCAATGTTCAATGCTTTCTGATACTTATTTGCGCACAAATATTTCAGCGCCAAGCTTGATAAAATCATGAAACATAATCAAATGATAATCATTCTCATCCTAAGTTAAACATTTTTAAATCAGATAGTACGATTCTGATAATTGAATTCTGTGTTTTGAAACATTATTGAATATTTAAGAAAGTATGTATCAAGGCCTGCACCCTGGAACTCAGTTTGATTCAATCGACAATGGGAAACTATACGCCATAACATCGAAACTATACCAGTCGCTTAAAGAGTGACTAACACAACTCAGTGGCCTTGTGGATAACGCTTCAAAGTTCGATTCAAAGGAATTTTTAATCAGCTGTCGAAAGGGATCCCATAGTTGTCCTTCATATATTAAGGGAATCTGGAAGCAGAGAACACTACAAGTACGCAACCATACGAAATATTCATGATACAGATACATCCTAACAGCGGGACATTATCCACTTCTGTCTCTCCTGGGTTTACTATACCGTAGCTATCCAATCATATATTTTCTTTGTGCTTTGAAGTCTCTTTAGCGATTGGATTAGTTTTACGGGGTAGGGTTGCTAGCCCTATGCCCAACCTCCCCTCTTTATGCGGGCTTAGGACTGTCTATTAACTAGTGAACTAGTTAACTAGGCGACAAACTCTGGGAATGAACCAACCAAGAACCTATCACCCGACAAACATGCAGTCGAATAAAGTGGAGATGGATTGGGCATACACTGAGAAGGCCGATTGGGGACATCACTCGCTAGGCCAGAACGTCGAGTGGAATCCAAAGGAGAAATGACGAGTTTGGCGTCCGAGGGTGACATGGAGGGTATCATGTGAGGAAGAAATGAAAGCTTGTGGGCAGTCGTGGTGCCGGGTTCAAAATACTGCAGAGAGGAGAGTGAAATGGAGACGTGCGTATGTTCGACTAGGGACCCAAGGGAAAAATAATAATAATAATGCCATTATATATATCATACTGTGTGAAAAACTATGATTAAGCAATAGAATAAATAGCCTAGTAGTCTTTGGTTCGATTTCCACTGCGATTTATATTCTTGTTTGATACGACTCCAGTAAATATCATTCTCGAGTGAAATCGTCATCTGATGGACTATTTAAGATTATTCTGATCTGACTGAGTGATGAAATTAACAGAGTAGTTCGAATGATTTCTCACTACTTAAATTGCTCAGTAGTATATCTAATGTTTATGTTAGTTTCTACCTTATCTCAAATTTGTTTGCGTTTTGTTGATTTTTTTTTTAGTTTCAAGAAATTTATTCCAATGTACGTGTAGAAGCTATTCAAAGAGCTATGAATACAGTTAAAATGGATTTCGATAAGAAAACACAACAGCTTTGTTAGTTTATTGAACCTAAGTTATTTAGTGGATTATTTGTGATAACCCCCCCCCCCACTTCATGTTTCTCATACTTAATTAAAACATACCAATAAGTTCTTTTGATTTCCTGTATTTTGATAAAGAGAGTGCCTGAATGATTGGAATGTTCGCCCTTGAAGTTTAAAGGTCTTGAGTTCGATCCCTGCGATGGGGATGCGGTTCGTGAGTGAGTACTGCTTAGAAGTCCCGGACTAGAACGAAACACATGCCCAATGTTATTATGTCTTCGCTACTCCCCTGAATTAGATATCATCTTGAAGCTTGTATTATATATGCTGTTTGATCGATGTAAAGGCCCAACAAGAAGATTTGCATTTCGCCGCCGATGATGATCTATGTCTAGTATCTTGTCGCACAAACTGGAAGATCTACAGGTGAAAGCCAACAAGTTGACAAAAGAAGCAGTGAAAACGAGACTCCTTTTAAGTCAACGTAGAGAAGACAGAGGAGATGAAGATACCCAACCAACAACAACAAGCAGTAATCACCATCAGCGGGAGAAATCTGGAGGAAATTGTCTCATTCACCTACTCACCTAGGCAAAGCAGCATCGTTTCAACTGCAGGCGACACAGGCACAAATGAGGATGTCAAAGCCAGCCAGGATCGCAAAAACAGCAAGACAACCCCTTCATCATTCTGAAATAACCAGTGGGGAGATCTATTCCACAGCACAGCACTCAGTATAAAGTGTGAACAACATCCGGATTTTCAACACTCGTGTTAGTCAAGTCAGTTCTTCTATGTGATGGTTGAGAGACTTGGCGCGTCATGAGAAACACTTCCAACAAACTGCAGATATGCATCACATCGACAGCTGCTGCCTAAGGTCACTCGATACTGACAGTGAAGATCAGATGGTCAGAATAATAAGAATAAGCAAGGAGGAACTGTAGCTGGCCAGTAACGAACCAACCAAGAACCTACCACCCAACAAATATGCAGTAGAAAAAGTGGAGATGGATTGGGCATGCAATGAGAAGACCTTTCAGAGAAATCACGTATCAGGCCAGAGGGGAAACGACTAGTTGGGCGTCGGTGCCGAGAGTGACATGGAGGAGATGGTGTGATGAAGAAATGAAAGCTTGTTGGCAGTCGTGGCGCCAGGTTGACAAGACTTCAGAGAAGAGAGTGAAATGGTGACGTGCTACTGACGCCCTATGTTCCACTAGGAACCCAAGGGACATATAATAATAATAATAATCATTACGAATCTGTATATATTTTTGGAATACAAATCGAATGATTAAAATATTCGCAAACTGGCTATACAGATGAGGCCATCTCCATGGAAGTTGGGCAGTGTGAAAAAATAAACTACCATACAACTAACTTCCTGGTATTTCACCTTAGTGACCCAAGAAAGGGGATCAAAAATGCATGTTTCGTCTTTTGACTTTCTCTTCTAGCTCTAATTGTGTTTTTCATTCTGATTTTCTCTCAACTCTTTCACATTGGAAAATGTTAGGGAAATTCACTAACTTTCCCTTTATATTTGGATAAAGTTTATCAATTGTCTTTACCGTTAGGTTTATTATACACTAAATATCATGATAAGCTTTATCTGAATGTGAATTATTACCACCTTTAGACAAATGCGTAGTTGTCTCCTGGATTAATAGGCACCATGATATTCTCAATTTGAACACATATAGCCTTTATTACTTTAGTTCTGGTACTAGTGAGACAATGGACTATCTGTCTTATCACACGACTGTAGGCCATAGAAGATATGAAAAAAAACTGTAAATTTTCGAACACAAATGCTTTGCTCAGTGGAGTAAAGATATTAGATAAGACACTTTAGCTTATCGATGTAGTTGTAAACTTTTAATTACTAAGATGGCTTGAATGTGTTGCGCATGCTAAGTCATCGTCTACCTTGACATGTAGCATTAGCCAAATAAGGATTTTGTTGTAAGAAGGTTCAGGATGATCAGTTCAACACGTGGCATCAGTGCATAAAGTTTCTTACTGTTGATCTTTGTCGTATAATGATGTGAAAAATGACTAGTTGTTATTCTCCAAAACGATTTGTAAAAATGGTTGGAGAATTTTGGTGAAATATGAAGAAGATGGTCATAACGCTATAGATAATTTCACTATTTATTGTCTTCTAAAGCTTTAGTATCTTTGTTAGCCTTCATTTTTGAGTTCCTTCTTCTCTCATACACCTTTGTCTACTTTAACATCACACTGTTTCTATCCGTTTGTTTTTTGTATACTACTGTGAAGTATAACAAGTTGAAACAGTAGACTTCTATCTTAGATTGCATGTTGATATTCTCTGTTTTTCTGCCTTTCTCAAGGATCTTAAGCATTTTCCTTTCATGCTTCGTGAAATTTCGATATATTCTCGTTAACACTACTTTTATATTAGGCATGACATTCTCAGTAATATAAGTGTATAACTTCGGCATTGTGATAGGATTCAATTCAACATTAAACTTGTTCATTTAATTTATAACACACAGTGATACAGTAGTATTAACTTGATGACCACGTTTTGAGCATCAATTAGTGCTCATAATCATAGGGCATATTCAAACAGGACGATATGAAAAGATGAAGAAATGTACAACAAATTTGATACGCCGGCTAAAGCAATGTCTAGGTCAGTCTGAATAGTTTAATTTAATGCCAAAATCTAATGAAGACTGCAGAAGCTTTGAAAGGAAGGAAAGGTACCTGCCTATTGATTGGAAGAAGGGCTACCTTGTCAAGCTATCAAAGAAGGCAAACCTAAATCTTTGCAAGAACAAGAACTGGCGCAGAATCATGCTCCACTCAAGTCCACCCTAAGCAAAATATCAATCCACATCATCCTGTGGAGACTAAACAATGCTCTGGATTCAAAATTACAACCAGGACAGGTTGGCTCAATTCAGGAAAAACAAATCATGTGCTGATCAGATTTCAACATTACGCTACGCTACGCAATCATCATAGAACAAGGCATAGAATGCCAGTCAACTCAACTCTACTTCAACTTCATCCACTTTGAAAAGGCCGGCATTCGACAGCGTCGACCGAGAAGTAACTTGGCAGGAAGCTCCTTCAACACTACTGTTTTAGTACCAAAAAACTTTCTCAAACTCATTGTATGCTATATGACGATACTACATGCTACATGATTCACAATGGAAAGCTGCTCAGTGATACCTTTTCAGTGAAGACAGAAAGGAGTAAGACAGGGTTACCTGGTACTATCATCACCAATGATCTTCCTGATTGTGGTCGACCCGACTGAACTAGACTGCATCATGCAATAGACAACTGTGAGGAGCAAGAAGATGGGAATACACTGGCTGGACAGATGAAAAGACCCAACAAGAAGATTTGCATTTCACCGCCGATGATGATTTATATCCATTGTCTTGTTGCACAACCTCGAAGATCTACAGGCGAAAACTAACAAGTTGGCAGAAGAGACGAGACAGCGAGGGTAGACGGGATCTCAAGTGAATGTAGAGAAGACAGAGGTGATGGAGCTACCCAACCAACACAGCGACAACAAGCACCAACCACCATCAACTGGAGAAACATGAAGCAGGTTGTCTCTTTCACTTACCTCTCTACCTAGGCAAGGCAGCATCGTTTCAACTACAGGCGGCAACGGCACAAATGAGGATGTCAAAGCATGCCAGGATCGCAAAAACAGCAAGACAGGCCTTCCTACACTAATCTGAAACCAGTGTGGAGATCTACTCCACAACACAGCACAGCACAGCACAGCACAGCACAGCACAGCACTCGGCATAAAGTGTGAACAACATCCGGATTTTCAACATTATTGTCAATCAAGTTCAAGTCAGTGCTTCTATGTGATGACTGAGAGACTTGGTGGGTCATATAAAGCATTTCCAACAAACTACAGACATACATCACATCAACAGCTACCGCCTACCCTCGCTCCATACTGAAGATCAAACGGCCAGAATAATGAGAATAAACAACAAGGAACTCTGGCTGGTAACGAACCAACCAAGAACGTATCACACAAGAAATATGCAGAAGAATGTGGAGATGAATTGGATCCAGTATATACGGAGAAGACCATTCGGAGACATCACGCACCTGGCCAGGTCGTCGAATGGAAGTCGAAGGGGAAATGACGAGTTGTGTTTCCGAGCTGTGTGTGACCTGGAGGAGATCATGTGAGGAAGGAATGAAAGCTTGTGGGTAGTCGTGGAGCCAGATTAAGAAAGCCGCAGGGTGGAGAGTGCAGTGGGATTGTGCTACTGAAGCCCCATGTCCCACTAGGAACCCAAGGGAAAAATAAATAAATAAATAAATAATAGTAATAATCTTAGCAGACTTTATGGCATCATTATGGTCCGTAAACCAGATTATCTCATTAGACACATAGCTGACTTCAGAAATCCCCCAACAAATGAATTACTAAAGTACTTAGAAAGGATATTATATCCTATTAGGAAACTTTCAAATTCCAGACTAGTGAACTTTTAAAACTAAGGCCTAATGACCTACACAAACAGGAGGATTAAAAAATGGTTGTTTCGATGTAACATGTCTTTATACCAGAATGTCAATCAATGTGGCACTGGAGGCAGTCAGAAATCAACTGAATTTTGACTCTCAGAACTAATATATCGATTGGTCATTTTAGGCGTACAGTTGTGCCTGACCTCCACAGTCTTCAGGTTTCAAGACAATATATATAGATAGAGAGAAGGAGTTGCAATGGGATCACCAATATCTCCAATCGTAGTAGATATATTTATGGATAGTTTGGACAATATGGCTGTGCAAATGTTTAATCCTGCACCTGAGACATAGTGGTGATATATGGATGACACATTTTACTATTGTGTTGATATCGGAACATATCGACGATTTACTCATACAGATATAAACTCAGTAGTAGGCGCAATGCAATTAACTTATGAGGCAGAAAATGAACACTGGGAGAATCAACTGTCTTGGATCGCCGGATAAAATAGAGAACAGACGGTGATTTGGATACTACCGTCTACAGGAAAGTGATACATTCTAACACGTATCTAGACTTCGAGTCATCTCATACAATGTCAGTTA